ATTGTTAGTGGTGTTACTGAAAGTGTTAATGGCAGAAGCATTTCCATCCGGAGTTGCTCACCTACCTCTACTTGTTTCCATCCGTTGTCCAAGCGACCGCGTCCATTTATAACCCATTGTTTGACGTGAACAACCCAGCTCGCTGTTGGATTTTTACAACTGTTTTTTGTTTCACTGGTACATGGATTACTTTTTACTCTGTTGTTCTGGAAGGTGTAATGCATGCAGGTTGATACTTGCCCTGTTTGAATACGAGCCAGCAGTTGTATTATTCTATCTGTTTGATCTATGTTGTACACAGTTATGGATCCGGTTAGCTTTGCTGGTTCACACGAACTCGTTTTATAAGTGGCAAACATAACCTTATTTTTGATCCATGCAAGTGTCAGACGGTACTCATTTTGATGAGCGGCACGAACACAAATCATGAACACTCCGGGCATGATGACATTGTAGAAAAGAGTTTTCACCACTATTCCATTACCAAATGATGAAAAATCCGAGCTGCAAGACATTGTCGACCCTTGCTCAGAAGGGTAAGCGAGTCCTTCAACTGTAAATAAGACATTTAAATTTTAATTTTAACATAGTCAATAGTTTCAGTGTGTGCGTGTGTGAGCGCTCATTCGCTTATGTAGTAATCATTAATCCTGCCCCGGTGAAATGTTATGTTCTTAGGCCTATGTCCTTCTTTGCCTCACACGTGAAACATGAGCGTGCAACGGTAAATGTCACTTTCGGTACAAGGTTTTTTTTCTTTTTTTTATGAAAATGAGATAAAAATTATCAGAAATAATGAATGGCTAACCGGAGGGTCAATGAATTGCTGCTTATGGTTAATGAAATTGTGATCAAACATTATCAGAAGTAGTAAATGGCTTACAACGGAGGGTTAATGAATTGCTACTTGTGGATAGTGAAATTGTGATCAAACATTATCAGAAGTAGTTAATGGCTTACAACGGAGGGTCAATGAATTGCTGCTCATAGTTAATGAAATTGTGATCAAACATTATCAGAAGTAGTGAATGGCTTACAACGGAGGGTCAATGAATTGCTGCTCATAGTTAATGAAATTGTGATCAAACATTATCAGAAGTAGTGAATGGCTTACCGGAGGGTCATCTAGATAAAGATGAGTATACACCACATAATATACATAAATCTTTATCTAGCACTATTTTGCGATAATGTTTTTAGTTTCTAAATGCACAATGTTAAAATAGGCTAAAAATAATGTTATAAAAAGTTCTCATAACTTTAGAATGGGTCAAGATTTTTTTAAACGGATTGCAGCATTGTATTCAGCTTAAAAAAGTAGTTTAAAACGATGGGTCACAACCCTACCTTTACATTTGAAAAAAAACTTTGTATCCAATATGGCGGATCCAAGATGGCGGCCAGAAATTTATACCCAGTCAAAATGAAGTACTTACTACTCTACAATAATCTGACGTGGTCCGGAGTTGATATCTTAAGAAATGTAGAAAAAGTAAGGGGGGAACTCATTTAAAACTCACCCTGTATATAGATAGATACATTGTTTTAAAACACGTTTAAATGTAGTACATATAAAATAGTAAGTATATGAAACTATCATACTTGAAGTAGGTAAGGTGTAGTCGTCCTCTCCCTCGCGGAAGCATCCTGCTTGTACGAGATGCGTGAAAACCTGTACAGATGAAACACACAATTAATTTATTTTACAATCCAATTCCTTTGGTAACGCTAAATACTCTTTTCTCATTACGATGGTTATTTCCTTATCTTATACAGTGTATTAAACGTGGGAGGGTTTTTTATTCGCAGATTCTTAATTGACCAATTGACAGATTTTCAAGATCCTTCTTTTGAAAGAAAGCTAATTTTTAGTAAAGTATCAACGCGCAGGAGAAATGCTAGTTGCCGCTGCGTGTAATCCGGTGCGCCGACGATCTGCCCGCGTATTTTACTCATCCAGAGGCGTTAGATCTGCCAAACGCCTGAATTACGCGTCCTCACCAGGCAGACAAAACGCTCATGTAGTCCACATCATATAAAGCTATTGGCTCTGCAAAAAAGCAGACGGTCGGCGGCGTTTCATACGCTCGTGTAGTCCGGCCCGCTGTTCTGTTGAGTTTGTTGTTGCAGATGTGTAATAGTCCTGCAGCTGGCTATACTTTAGTGTGCACACTTGCGTATACTCAATATTCTTGCATAACGTTTTAGTTTGATGTATAGGGAGTTTAAAAAACCTGGGTGTTTACCCCCTACCCCCACGTTTTCCGGCTATGACGTCATCAAAATGGCAGCCATTGATTTTTTTAAAGCGTATATTTCGCAAACTATTTGTCGGATCGGAATGAACTTTTTTTGTTTGAAAGATAAGTTTAAAGTCTATCTGTTTTACATTTACACATTTGTTGTATGTTTAGTACATTTTTTGAGTAAAACACATCGAATTTGGTATTTTTGTAAAGCTTTTTAAACGTTCTACAACTTTTTTCATTGGTGGTTTTTGATATATTATATCAATAAAACGTTACTAACAAATATAACACAAAAATATTTAAAAATACAGGTTTTTGCAAAATTACGAAAAATGTACTAAACATACAACAAATGTGTAAATGTAAAACAGATAGAATTTAAACTCATATTTCAAACAAAAAAAGTTCATTCCGATCCGACAAATAGTTTGCGAAATATACGCTTTAAAAAAATCAATGGCTGCCATTTTGATGACGTCATAGCCGGAAAACGTGGGGGTAGGGGGTAAACACCCAGGTTTTTTAAACTCCCTATACATCAAACTAAAACGTTATGCAAGAATATTGAGTATACGCAAGTTTGCACACTAAAGTGTAGCCAGCTGCTGGACTATAATTGTAATTGACGATTCCAAAGCTGCCTTGGCTTTAATAATACTTATAGTAAAATAAATATTCTTATTCTTATACATACCAAAACAAAATATATGGTGTAAAACCCCAAAGCGCTCTGCGTTTGAATCATCTGGTATGGAACTCTACACTCTACTCTAGTTTCTAATCGACAACACGTGTTTATGTGAACTGCTCTACGAAAACATCTGTGAATGACGTATAAACTAATTATTTGTCGGTTGACAACTTGCTATTACCATAGACTAACAAACACAAGTAGTATATACTTCTCATCCCACTAAAATTTTGAAGCTCGTTTTTCGTGTCCAATTCATGTCTGGTGACACTGACTACTAGTGTCTACAACATTTTGTTTCTATTATTTTAGGGTTAATTTAATTATGTGTATCCTACTTTACTGTTTGGTTATATAACTAGAGGATGAGTTACAAATTTATTGTTCAAATACACTCAACTTCTTTCGGTGCGTCAACTCTTTATAAAAACTTGACTTGTATATACCTACTCCAATCAAGAACTGATAGTGACGCCAATAACGTATAACTATCCCACCAGAGGAGCTGTAAATGTAGGTATACAAGTACCCAGATTTTTCAAATCTGCAAATCTTACCAATGCTTTTTATATTGCGAATTTTCTGTATAGGAATTTACATCAGAGATTAGAGATCTACAGGTATCTCTTCAAGTTTACAAACGTTCGTAAGCAGTTGGCATTCGGAGATTGGGCTCGATCAGTCTGAGACACTTATCAGTTCAGTATGCAATACCGAACGAGATTAATACACCAGCACACCAAACAATATTTAGCGCACAGACATTAGTAACTGCAACTTCATTCACTTGACCACTTATTACTTAACATTAACTGTTCCTGTAGCTGTCTCATATTTTAGTTGTAATAATATTTTGATGAATTTAGTTTTATTTTTATAAAAAATGTAGATAGTTGATAGTTTTAGTAAATGTAGGAAATGTAGATAGTTTTCACAATATTTATGTGGAGGTTGTGATCTTTAAAAAATTAATCATATTTCCTACTTCTGTGAATGATACAATTTCTACTTCTTCTGAGCTATTACCCGAAACTTTAAGATTTGAATAATCAGCATATAGTCAGAGGTTTGTGCTATCTGTGTATATTTTACCGATTTGTATATTTTACCGATTTGTATATTTTACCGATTCGTATATTTTACCCCTGTAGTGGGTAGAAACAACTTTTAAATGACCCCTCAGTTATGGAAATTGGTGAAGAATTGGGCGTAAGGACGTTATGGCCTACCGAAAAAATAAAGTACTATTATGTACCAAAAAAAAATTATTATAGATATATTATAAATAGATTTAGATTATTAAAACGTTACAGGTTTATCCATACAAGCTTTGTATTCATTGTTTGAACTAAGCAACGAAAAACTGCAATAGACAGTTATTTACATACTTAAGTTTTTTTAAATAACTGTTGGCGTACAAATGCAGAGTTCTCAATTTTTAAATGCATAATTCATCAACCTTATGACTATCTTTTTTTAATTGATAATCTTTAGTATCCGGGAGTGAAGCTGTGGTTGACGAGTAGCTTGTAACACTTCGTCGTTCTGATCTCTATTGCACTGCTGCATAATTATGAAGCCAAATAAGCCTGGCTTCATAATTATGCAGCAGTGCAATAGTGATCAGAGCGTTCCCATACTAAACAATTTCATATCGTCATTAGAAGATGACATGCGATCACAGCGATTCAATGAAATCACCTACTTTAAATTAGTGCTTTGCAGTTTTTGAGCTCGTCTGTCATCATTATTAGCGACACTGTCTCCTTAGGGCTGTGTTAAGTAAAATAGTTTCGTTTGGTTATACGATGTAACTCATAGAATAATTCAAGTTATGCGATGCAACTATTGATTTTAGTTTCATTGCGGTAAGCTTATGCTGAAACTGTTTGAAAAATCTCTTTGAGTGTATAAAATAAGAGTGTTAATTTTATGATTGTTTACATTACTAACAAAAGCTATGTGTGAAGAAAGGGGTATGAAAGATTTCTGTGATAAAATTGAATTAACAATTACTTACTGTTTCTATGAAGTGGTTAAGGTCAAACATTAACTATTCATTTTCTTTGTATAATTTTTTTTATTCATTTTAATTCAGGAGTGCTGAATTTCAACAGCTAGTAGCTATTACAATAGCTAAAAACTGCTGCCGTACATTTCGTCAAATTGTTTTTTATTCATTGGGTGCAGATTTGCATAGGCTTGTTTCCCAGCTAGTCCCGGTTGAATAGGCACGGTTACCTTATCTTGTTTCGCAACCGCAAACGATACCTCTTTATTTTGGAAATCAAAAGAAGTGTAATACTTTTGAAAGAAAGGCAAGCCCAACAATATTTTCTTTTGACCGTCTCCCTCATCTATCTTTTGACTTTCTGCCTCAACTACCTCGTTGAACCTCGAATGACACAGCAAATCTTTCTCCTGAAACAAACGTAATAATTCAGGAAGAATTACATTCCAGATCGGTAGTAGGCTATGGACCCAAAATTACCTCATAGGTATCTAGTATTAAGTTCAACACTTCAAGATCCACTTAAATGTTATTTAATAATAACATAAACACAAACAACAATTTCAATATAATTTTACTCTATGTTTAACAACAATTTTGTTAATTGTGTTGTTAATAACAATATTTTTGTTTTGAGAGAATTTTGCTATGAGTAAACAAAGTTAAAACTTGTTGAGTGTGAGAAGTTTTCCATCATTGACTGTGAAATGCGTTAAATCATTAAAATAAAAGTCACGTCTGTTATTGAACCGCCACGATCGTTAGAGCGGATTATATGGGTCAGTTTTGAAGGGTAGTAAAACATCTGAACCACGCGGGTTCTGAGGTGCATTTCTAAGCTAAGCTTATGAACACTCCTGTCATTTTTGCACATTTCCTTCAGTTACCATAGACAAATTACCTACAGTTACTCCTTAATCAAGCCTGATGACATGTGAAGATTCCTGTTTAACACAATAATGGCGTTGTTAGCGCTTTTTACGCTGTGAACTTTCTTCGTGACACCGTGGAAACTCGGGCTCTTTTCAGGCGTAAGATTAGGCAACCTTTTTGGGGAATACAATTTCGGACTCTTTTCAGGAGCTCCGTTGAAAACGATGAATTACAACGAATGCAGTGAAAACACCAAGCCCTGGAGGACCTCTTCACCGTTCTCAGCGTGAGAGAAGACCTCATAGGAAATTTCTCCCTTCAATAAAATTAAATACCGGTAATCCCCTTCAAGAAGAGGAATTAATTATTGTTTCAAGTAGAAGTTTTGTTATTTTGTTTTTGCTATGAGAAAATATTAATTTGTTTTGTCCCTGTGTAATTGTTGGAGGGTATTGTTATAAATCATAAGATTATTCATTTCGTTATATAAATAATCAACAGTAATTTGTATAGTATACATATTGTGAAAGAACAAAAAATAAATCAAGAAGGACATGAAGAAGACGCGGAGAATATGCAAAGAGGACCGGGACCGGAACGCAGACTTGGAAATTCTACCAGATAGGTACGCATCGCCATTTTCTTACTGAGTTTTCCAAAGACCTCAAAAGTATTTTAATACTATATATATATATATGCGTTTATTTTAATAATATGTTTAATAATATGTATTTGAATGTTTAATAATATGTATTTTAATAATAATAAAACACTTACTATTGAAAATATGTAGTCCTTAGGCTCTAAAACAAGGTTCTGCAATCTACCGTTCTTATCGATGATCTTGAACGATAAATTTGGCAGATTGTCTGGTAGAAGTCGACAAGGATACTAAAACATAAATATAATTTGCTCACGTAAAAATAAGTATTTTTAAGCGATAAAACTTCTTAATATTCCAATATAGTTTGGTCCATGGCAGGAATGCATTATAAATATAAAAAAAATCTTCCAATGACCACGTCAAGTTAAAAGAAGTGAAGGCTGGAGTAGAAAATATAATATTCCGTAATATATTTCTCACATTCAAATAAAAATATCAAAATACAATGCTATCAACACAACATATTCGGATCTAACTAAATTGATTGGTAATTTGTATTTAAATAAACACAATTATTCCCGTCTAAGATAAGGAAATTGACACAATTATTCATGTGAGTGTACCATTCAGGCCAAACTCTGTAGGGTTTCAAAGATAAGACAAATTAACTTACTACATTTTTTCTGGTAAGTATGTCTGCAGGAAATGATCCACGGTTCTCCTTAAAAATGAGCTGTGTCAGCTGTTCCAAAAGATGTTCAGGAATTCCAATTCTTGAAGTACCTGAGTCCGGTAGCAATTGGGTGAAATAACCCAGCTTTTCATCACCAACGTACATCCTGTTGAAGATAAATATTGTTTATCATGAAGAGTGTCCATACAGGGTTGGGCAAAAGTATGAACACCCCCTATTAAAATTTTAAACTAGAAACCCCAAACTCAGCAAACCACTGTATGGCATAAGAGTGCACATTTTTGTTGCTCTTTTTATTTTTATGGGTTGTTGTTTTCATGGTATGTACCAAGGAAACTAAACTCATTATAACCGTAACAAGAAACTAAAAACTACTTTTTGGTCGGTACTGAATGACAATTTTGCCCGGCATCTAAAATTGGGGTATTTTTAGGGACAGCTAAAAAAGAAAATACAAAGTAGGGAAGTGACACCTCATATTATAGGCTATTATATTGAAAAGAGTATCGGCAAAATCAGGAGGTCTCTGTCTCAACTCAATACAAAATGGTGGCAGTTTTTGTTTTTCATCAACCTCAGAGACTCCACTTACACATTAATAACCTTATCCAAGATTGACATTTTAACAGGGTGTACCAGGAAAGCTTCTTCCTTTATAAGAAATAAGTGTTCTTTTTAGATGGTTTGAGATAGAGACCTGTGATTTTCGCCGATATTCTTTTCAACTGATAAATTTTATAATAAGGACACTTGATGGTGCTTTGTATATTAACATTTTTGCTGTCCCCAAAATACTTCATTTGGGCGTGCTGGGCAAAATTAACATATCGATCTGTTGTAGATTGAAAGACTAAAACCATTAAAACACGAAATTACCTTTAGTTAGGCTTTATTGGATAAAGAATCTAGCATGATATACAAGCTAACAATATGAAACAACTAACATCAAAGTAAAAAAAAAACAATTTCTAAACATTTGAAGAGATGTTACAATCCTCAGCCTTATCGACCCTTACCACCCTTGATAAGGCCTAGTATTCTAGAGGAAACTTCCTCACAACAGTTACTAAAGCATATTAATTATGGGTATGTATACAGGTAAACGTTTATGTAGTTTCACAAATCCAGACCGAAATGAAGTTGTCTTGCAAACGGTTAAATACCGAGGTGCGAGTAAAATGAGTGCGAGAAAGTAAAATGCGTGCGGGAAAGTAAGTAAGTGCAGGAATCAGCTACTTTGCGTGTTATAATCAGTGCAGGAAAACCTGCTTTGTTAGTTAGTGCACATGTAGAAAAAAAAATTTAGATAGGTATTCTGGAATTAATTTATTTCATAGTTACCCTTCCATTTGTATATCCCACGCCGTAAAAAACATACTGTCCATGCGTTTCTTTGGCTTAACCTTGGCTGTGATAATGGGGTGTTGTTCATCCACGTACTTTTTGTTGAACCCTCCAAAATACAACTCCCCGCTATGAGATGCGAAATAATCCCGCACAGACCGATCTTCAACAATTCTGAAAAATAATAAGTACATTGATAATATATCGTGTTGTTCTTCATGAGGAGCCCAGGGGAATTTAAACTTGGCAAAAGTATCGTTTAGTAAGGAGGTGAGGTATGAGTTATTTTAATGCACTTCCCTGTGGATTATGTTAGGTCAGTTTAAGCTTGAGTTTAAGCAAAGATTCAAATTAGGAATGGGATGGCTATCTGGAAAATAAAATAATTATATGCAGAAGAAAATTGCGTATCTCATTTGCATCAAGATTTTACTTTTAAGTTCTCACAATTTTGGATGGTTGATAATGATAATGAGGAACGATGTTAAGGGTAGATAATAGGGGAAACAGATAAATGCAAACCTGTTTTTCCAAACTATTTAATTTTAGAATTTAAATTTATTTCCTATAGAAATATTTTAACATACGTGGGATACTGGAGAATTTGTATACAACTCACCTCTCTGCAAAGTAACTCACTGCACCGCATACTTCAGCCTGTGAAATTATAGTTTCAAGAGGTGATATAATTGGATTTTTCAAATGACTTCCCATGGTGAAACCGAGCCCAAATACAGCATCGGATTCCTCTGGATTGTATTCTTCTATTTCGTCTGCAAGGCCAAACATGGTTTTGACTTGAATCTTTTGATTTCCATCACCTATCTGCAAATTCAGTTACGGGACGCTTTAACAATGCACTTCACAAAGTAATAACAAACCATCTAATCTAGAAGTGGTTTAAAAGTTGATGGTACCCTAGTACACTGAGGGTATAAAATGAGATGTACAAAAAAAGTAAAAAGCACAAAAATAGTTAGGATGTATTTGTGTGTTTAACACAGTGAGGAGTTTGTTTTATATCAAATTGTCTAATTAATGTGAGTGTTTTGACTATTAATGGTTTTTGAGATTTTGACGTATTCTTTGAAGAATTGAAATAAAAACAATTGGACATACTAATACATTGAGATGTTTGTTATAATACAGCGTGGAGCACATGGACAGCCTCACTCACGTGGATCTCAGGCTGTTTAGGTGCGTAGTAATCGACCATTTATCACAATGGCTTAAACCGAACAGTTATACTGACTTTTCTGTTTGTAAAAAACACATACTGCATTGCTTGAATGGTGTTCGGTCTAAGCCATGATGACAAAACGAACCAGAAAGTATCCCCATACCACCAACCCAGTCCGAGCACTAAGCAAGTGAAACTGCTTAATTCATTTTGCCCCACCCTGTATATAGTGGGGAGCGAGCTGGCGTAGTGGGAGCGCGGGACTCCAGTCCCTGAGGTCCCGGGTTCGATCCCCGCCAAGTTACCAATGGATTTTTTCTAAGTGATAATGCCGCATCCCTTGGTCTAGCCTGAAGTAATGTGAAAAACAATCCCAGGCTCGTACTAAATTTACATTTTTTAATCCATCATAAATATAATTAAAATGTATTTCAATTTGTTATTGTTTCATTATGTACGAAATAAATGTTTACTCTGTACATTGTCATATTTTTACACATTTTCATCACTTGAGGTGAGAAGGCCCCTAACAATTTAAAAATAAAAGCCAACTTCACTTCAAGTATAAACTACACCTAACATTCCGTAAAGAGATTATATTGACAACTTTATGTAATTGATAAGGCTGAGACAACTAACTGACATCCCCCATGTCTTGGAATTCCAGCTTTAACAGTAACCCTACAACCAATTTCTCAAAACTGTGCTAGAGGGTTATCATTAGCACATAAGTACAATATGAACTGGCGTGACGTGACGAAGGAAAAATCAAACTAACTGTAACGTATATACCTCCCTTTGAAGTTAGAAAATGTCTTCGCAACAAACAGATAAAAAAAACAAAATCATAGATTAATCTGCATTACACTGATGAAATCACGAAAGTGTTTAACTTCAAAAGATCCACGAATACGATTTTAATACTATTTAAAGGTTCTTCCAAAGGAAAGAGATACCAGATAACATACTATCTCCGATGACGTACGGTTAGGGAAATATTTTATTCATGAATGATCAACCATATTTGAACTGACGCAATTAGTATCATTATTGTTTTTACACTTATTATAAAATATGTATAATTTCACACAATTTATAGCAGTTAGATGAATTAGCGTAAGCCTTGAAAGTAACCGTCGATTTCGACGGGTTTCACCTAGTAAGTAAATAATCAATTTAACTATTTTAGGTCATATCCAAAGGTTTTACAGCATAAAGTTTACTACTGTATAACCAAAATTTAAACTAAGGATATATGTATTTTGTTGGCAATACCGTCATAACATCTAATGCCAGCTTTCCACTTCTCATCCCTCTGCCATACTCGGTTTTGAAATTTGGATCTCCATCAATGTTTAGTGGTTCATATGTACTGCTTTGACGATAGTCAAATGTGTTGGGTTGGTACTGGGACTGAGCTAAAAATGTATTACTTATTAGAGCTGACAGATCACAGACTTGCCATAAACAAATCTTACACATGGTTTGATGCCGAACAGAAATGAAAGAGTCCCAAAAGTAATAGGGTCATATTTTAAGAAAGAAAATATACGATAAATGAATTTAAAATAAAATGACAATGATTTTAGATTACTTCAATCTGCATATCAAACAATTTATAGGTTAAACATTTTCAACTTCAAAATGTATACAGGGTGTTTTTTTTTAAACTTGCATCTTTATTTATGTAAAAACCGCAATAGATAGAAATAGTCAGTTTGCGGGACTCATTTATTGACTTTGGGGGCACAATTTTTTTGAATTCAATGTTACATTCACATTCCCCCTTTCCCCCCCTGCCCCCAATTTTTTTTTTTAAATAGCAAGGTACCCCTTGTAACATATCAAATAAAAAAAGCATGAAAAAAGAAAATGTTTGATGAAAAAAAACATTGAAAATCGGTTTATAAACTTGTGAGATATCCCCCCCTCCCCACCGGGAACTTAATTTTTTTTAATAGCAAGGTACCCCTTGTGCCATATCAAATGAAAGAGCATGAAAAAAGAACATGTTTGGTGAAAAAAAATTGAAAATCGGCTCATGAATTTGTAAGATAATCCCCCCCTTTTCCCCTACCCATAACTTTTTTTTAAATAGCAAGGTACCCCCCCTTGTGACGTATCAAATGAAAAATAAATGTCACCAAAAATTTTCTTTTTTCATGCTCTTTCATTTGATATGACACAAGGGGTACCTTGCGATTAAAAAAAATTAAGTTCCGGGTAGGGGGGAGGGATATATCTCGCAAATTTATGAACCGATTTTCAATTTTTTTTTCATTAAACATTTTCTTTTTTCATGCTCTTTTATTTGATATGTCACAAGGGGTACCTTGCTATTTAAAAAAGTTAAGTTGGGGTAAGGGGGGAAAGGGGGGGGGAATATGAATGTAACGTTGAATTAAAAAAAAATTGGGCCCCTACGTCAATAGATGATTCCCGCAAACTGCATATTTCTATCTATTGCGGTTTTTACATAAATAAAGATGCAAGTTTAAAAAAAAAAAACACCCTGTATATACAAAATATAGTTATTTTTTAAGGAATGTTGGATAACATTGGAAACATGCCCAAATAAGACGAGTTGTATTATTAGACTTTCACATAAATAAATGGGTAAATATATAAAATAATTTCATGAGCTTACCTATATTTGAGAAATCCTTGTTAATGAGGATTAAATCCACTGACCCTGTATCGAAAGTCACTCTGAATGGTTGAGCTGGCGTTCCCATACCGATGTGAGCATAGTAAACGAACTAAGAAACACAAATGAGTTGTATTTTTACAGTTTAGTTAGAAATCTTAGTAACACAATAGAACAATGATGTCCATTCCTCCAAAATCGCACTGTACAAAAGCTATGAATGTCTAATAACAAATGGCTCTAGAACACAGCTTCCTGCAATGAACTGCGATCTAACTACTGTTTTCATTTGTGCACTTTTATTTGGATATAATACAGGGTTATTCTAAATGATGGACCCATTTTTAATGCTTTATAATTTTTATACTATTAAACTTACCGCTATAAAATACACATCAAACGAAAAAGCAACTCAAAGAATTTATGCCTTCCGAAGACACATCATTTAACAAAATCGATCCAGCTGAACTGTAGATTTAATTGTACAAAGTTAAAAAGTAATTTCCAACTTTTTTTACCACTAGAAATTTGGAGGTTACTTGACGTGTTTTGCAAATAACTTTTAAATGGTGAGGAAATCGACCAAAGTGGAAGGTATTATTCCGAAATAGAATAAAATTTCCTACAATCTACTATTACGCATATCTTGAAAATACTCAATAAATGTAGCCTAAATTTGGCTTAAAATAAAAAAGTGTGAAATTTAATGTTTGCTATGTTTATTGTCTACATTGAAGACGGGGATTTTCATTTTTTTTTTCATTTTGAGGCAATTTTTGGTACCTTTCTTGAGTATTTTCAAAAAATGCCTAGTAGTAGATTGTAGGAACTTTTATTCTCTTTCGGAATATTACCTTCCACTTTGGTCGATTTCCTCACCATTTAAAAGTTATTTGCAAAAACGTCAAGTAACCTCCAAATTTCTAGTGGTAAAAAAGTTTGAGATTACTTTTTAACTTTGTACAATTAAATCTACAGTTCTGTTGGATCGATTTTTTTAAGATGTGTCTTTGGAAGGCATAAACTCTTTGAGTTGCTTTTTCGTTTAATGTGTATTTTATAGCGGTAAGTTTAATAGTATAAAAATTATAAAGCATTAAAAATGGGTCTATCATTTAGAATAACCCTGTATAACAACATAATTACAAACTAAAAAAAAATGTTCATTATTTACATTATTTATTTCTGCTTTTAAAACGAATATATTTAACATTTAATAACCAATTATACAACTTTTCACATAACATCTGGAAATTGACAAAGAACTTTCATATTTATTTTAAATATTTCAAATTTATTTTGCGTTTTCTTAAGATTTAAACAATTGTTTCTAATATTTCTCCCTAACATGTAATTGTTTTTTTACTCATGTATTCATACTGAAGTCTGAAATGAGTTAAACGAAAATGAAGGGTTCGCAAAAGGTATGGCAAACATTTCTTAGAAAGTAGAACTTTCTTGGATTTGGTTTTTGTCGTGTATGTAAGTACGATACGTGTCCCCTCCCAGGAAACCCACGTTCTCCTATTTTACATTACTAAACGGTTTCAAATTGTACTAACTTTCGACTATTTAAAACGATACAATTATGTCCAAAACTGGTCCAAAAATGGTCATTGAACTTGATTGGAAATTAAAGTGGGAACAGATTTCGTTATATCTGTACACAATATAATTTTTTATTCACGATGTTTGTATAGGATATAAATCGATAAGTCCCTTTGAGAAAATCTGTTGACCATAACATACTGTATTTTAGAGCGAACCAACTAAATATAATCTTCCTCATTGTTGAAAAAGTAATAAAAAAATAAAGCTGCAGTTGTTGTTCTTGTGTATCACCTGAAGCTAACTCAAGCGCTGTAAACTTGAGTTAAACCAGTTAAACCAGCTCAGCGCAACAATTTGCACACCAATCGTTTCAAGCTATCCATGAGAATTTTCTGAACCACTAAATCAAATGATTTTTAACACTACAAATAACAGTTCATTATTCATAACTTATTATTTCATGTTTTTTTACAATTACTTGCGTTTTGCGACGATACGAAATCGATTAGATAGTTCAGTTGTGTTTCATCAAGTCAACAATATTTATTTAGTTTATTTAATGTTGCCTTGAGTAGACTCAAACTCTAAACTATCCTAAAACATTATTAATTTTAAGTAATTCATTAGTCTAATAATTGTAATTTATTTCTCAAAAACTAAAACAAACTGAATCAGAATAATGGGACTTCTTGTGCAGTTCACCCGAACTTATTAATACTTACTAATCTGGTTTGGATTCATGAATAGTGGCACAACTATACTTTGATTAGGAGAAGTATAACTATCTGTGAGTTTACTTAATTTCTCTATAGGGAAGTAGCTACCGTAGGTCTCATGGTAAGACCTAGGCCCGGGACCGATTTACTTTTCCGTTTTGATGTCCCAAGAGGCCAAAAATACTATTAGTCAAAATTTGTATACATGTACATTTATATCTATATCTTTTTATATATAATAAGGATGATTGTGATTAGGGCTACTACTATATAAATAATTGAAAACATTATAAAAACATTAGTACCCTTTTAAATTATTTTAATTAATAAACTTTATATATATATATATATATATATATGTTAGTGTGTGTGTCCATGAACAAGATAACTTGAGTAATCTTTGTCCGATTTTGATGAAATTTGGTTTAAATTTGTAAGGGGGGATAAACTTGAATGAGTTCGCGAACCAGCATAATTAGACCACGGAAGTATGGGAACGGGGTTTTACGGGGGGTTTTATGGAGTAAAAATTCCCAATTTCTCTCTACACCTTTTTAAAGATCTTAAAATACAAATGATTTAGTATATCAAAGTGTTTTTGTACGGTCATTGGTAACGGAGAAAATTCAAAAAATTGTAGTTTTAAAATTCCCATGTTATTCTTATGGAGAATATCGTAAAATAATGTAGTTGTCTTGTTTATGGAATATATTTTTATCAAACTTGGCAGATTTATTTATTTTATACTAAGCTATTATTACTTTAATAAAAAAAACACACCCCTGTAGCAAACCTAGGTACTCGTTAAACATAAATGTTAATTTAATAGATTAATTGAAAACCAATCCAGGCAAATGGAAATTCACTTAGTCGGCAGGTTTGCTGCAGCGGGAATATTATAAGTACAGCATAGTCATAACAATCTTTGCTTTGTAAGTAATATGTTTGCTTGTGTCCGGAAAGATTTTTACTGCAAAAATAGATCACACAACTAACCAAAAACTGATGGCAACTACATTTTTAGAATAGAGAACTTGTTGGATAAAACTCAGTTTATATTTCTTGTAATAGTAACACAATTTTGGCTAGGATGAACCTTTTCGGGCTGGGTTAGTGGCAACGTGTTTCTCAAATATATGCTTTTAATTGCATGTACTACTCGACCCATACTCTCATACAAGACATCGACTCCTTGATCGTCCCTTGTGCAATGTAAAGAATTAATAACTATATTCTTGTTCTTCCTGTGAAAGTCTGTAGGTTGATATAAACGTTGTTTACATGACAGTATAACAGGTTATTTTATCGAAGTTAGCAAAACACGTCCAGTGAACTTCTACTGAAATGTTCAATGATAATTTATTTATTAATTTCCAACTAGGTGATATTTTGTTTGTAGTTAAGCGAGTACACACATAAAAGTAGCACTTACGTTATTGTGGTTATCCTGAGGGACGGGAACCTCCCGACCTGTTAGTTTCATTTCCACACTGTAAAATACAAAAATAATTAATAATTTTATAAAATACGTAAAAATAAAACTTCAGAACAAATATAATATTTCTAATACAAACGCAAAGTAAATACTCACTCGCATCCAAAAACGCACATGAAATGGAGAACGCTTACACAAAGAATTCTCCATATCATTTTTGTGATAGATTCTGATACTGTAAGCTGGCTGGTTGAGCGCCTAATGCTTGTAATGCACAGATGAATTCTGTCAAGTAGTCAATTTGTTTGCATTCTACGCCATAGTTTAATTTGAAATATGTTTTAGCAGTTGTTTAACTTGTTATCGTCAAAAACGCCACTCATAACCTTCAAACTCGCTTGGTTTACATGTAACACCAAAAGAGTAAACTTGGAATTAAAACGTTAAATTCATAAAGTAAAAATCAAATTAGTCGTGACTTGGCATTGGTCAATGCAAAGTGTTCCATGTTTATTAAACTACATAAGACCAGGTCGTAGCGTAAGAACAAAACAAAAACCAATAAAAAATATAAACATAAAACTCAATCGTATAAACAAATAGGAGAACTACACAGGTTGAGCTGGACCGAAGCTGCTTGTTTATGGATATATTTTGATGAACCTTGGCAAATTCATTTATTTTTCTAAGCTAATAAAATGTTAACAAGAAACACACCTTATAAGCAAACCTAAGTAGTTTCAAAACATACATAATATTTCAATAGGAAATCAATGTGAAACGTAAAAAAAAATAAGTGAAAATCCAATTAGGTAATTGGAAATGCAGGTTCGACATAGCAAGAATATTTTTTTGTTAGGGAGTTTATTCAGTTTATTAAGTACGTATTTCGGAAGTAATAGAAAGAGCAAGAACTACTAAAATGTAATAAAGTGCTGTAAGCACTTGTGCAGTATGTTTTTAACCAAGTTTTTTTGAGCTATGTACTTTTATCATGTAAAATATACATACTTGTTAAATATTTAGTAATTTAAATCAAGTAATTTACCAAAATATAATTAAATAACATATGAACAATAATAGCACAATAAAATATAATAATAATCAAGTAAGACACTTACTACGCTCGGCCACTCTATTGGGGTAGCAACAAATGCGGCGTGGTCGCGCCTCTGATCGAGTTTTATACACACTTTTGGTATGTAGATTCTCACGAACTGCTAGACGACAGCGTCATGGGTGAATAAATATTTAAAAGTTTGTGACCATCCGCTGCACTGTCTCATCTATCTCATCGGAGCCAGAATTTTGATTTAGACCTCAGGGCTCTGACCACAGGACTTCCAAGTTTTAATGTTATTCATATGGAGGAGATTTTTATTTATGGTTTATCAATACCATGCCATCTTTTAGAACATTTTCATTTTAAGAATCTGTCTCAAAATGTTTGTGTTTGCTTACTATGTATTAAGATTAAAATATTTCTAGGTTAAGCTGTTTTGGAAAACCACAAACTTCTAAAGGGTTTTGTCAATGCAACACTAAAAAAACAGGCCGTAATGCTCCTCAGGCATGACGTCATCATAGGTGACGGCAATGGCGCAAAATATTTTTTTTCTTTCTCCCCCTATACCATAGTACATAGGGAATGTATTGTTTTCGTCAAAATTTTCGATTTTGAGTTTTGAGTATCCGTTTTGGGTCCCCCTGGGACCAAAAATAGGTTTTCGAAGTGATGTGTGTGTGGATGTGTACAGAGCTACAGACTACACCTGTGGTCCGATTTTGATGACATTTGGTATGTAGGTACTAATCTATGGTATCTCCAGGTATTTCTTAAAACTTTTGATTTTTTAATGTTGATTTCCCCATAAAATAACGAAAGAAATAGAATTTTCTCAAAAATGGCCCGAACGATTTCGATAAAAACTTCGTATGTTGTAGCCCTTTAAATTATGAACATAATGGTATAACTCCCATATCTGTAAAAATTACGGTTCAAAAGTCATTCTAAATTAGGTTTTTTCATAAAATCCTACTAATATTATAAATGAGAAAGTTTGGATGTATGGATGTATGGATGTATGTTTGTGACAAGTGAACGCGAAAAATACTGGTCGGATTGGGCTGAAATTTGGCATGATGATAGCTCACATTCCCGATTAACATATAGGCATATTCTTATTTAAAAAATCCTTTTGGGCTCCGCCCCAGTGGCTCTGGAGTTTCCCATGTTAACCTTATGAGAAATGGAATTATTGAATCTTAACAGCTGTTTCAATTAAACAAGTTGGTTCTGATCTATGATGTTCAATAGCATTAAAGTTACAAGGATTACCAACAGGGTGCAGCACTATTATTTCTTTTACATTTATGACAACAGCTAATTTGCAACCAAAAGGTGAGTGAACGTAGCGAACGAACTTCAACCTAGAGGCGAGTTAGCGTAGTGAACGAGCTAACCTGAAGGCAAGTGAGCGCAGCGAACGAGCTCCAACCTAAAGGTGAGTGAGCGTAGCGAACAAACTTTAACCAGGACGTGATTGAGCCATGCGAACGAGATAATCTTTAAAATTAAGAAGTTAAACGGGGCAAGGCCCGCGGGTTACAGCTAGTATCCCATAAAAAAAGAAAATCCTATTTTTGAAAGAAACCAGTTTCGATTGAAATTAGCATGTGATAATCCTTATAATTCAACTTTTTACACTATTCAAAGATGGGGGGGATGGCTCCCTCCCCCCTTTGGGTGACACCCCTGGGTAGATTTAGAATTTATTTAGGAAAAAAGTATATTATCGGAAGAAATAAGTGGTAAATACAGCTGGTCATAGATTTTTTCATCCCAGAGAAAGAAAGAACGTCTTTAGCCCCGCAACGCAAGTGTTGAAAACAACCATATTTGCTAAAGTTTTAGTAAACATTTTGTTTTCAAGTGATGGTATAATCCATATATTTCACGTGTTGTAACATTTTAACGCTGTTTGTCAGTCCACGGTTTACAGGTTAAACGATTTTGCGCCTGCCAAGATTAATTACATACATTTTTCAGCAACATCTGTGACATGGCGAACGTAGAAAACTCAACAGCAAAGTGTAACTAGAACGATGGTGTTTGTCGGTTATTTTTGTAAAATGTTGCAATATTTCGTCAAAAGCCTTGAAAACTTATGACTTAGGCAACAGTCTAGGTTGGGTATATAATTTACAATTTATTATGCAACTCTTACAGGAAAATAAACTGTTTCTGTTAACCTCGATTGAAATTTGGTTTTGAACAAAATTTAATAGAAACGGGCTTATATAATTGTATGAACCGTGAAGTTAGAACTATAATGATACTATAGTGGGAAAATTATGATGGATAAATAATTTTGTGTGTTGTTTTAAGTAGTAGATTTTTTTATTACTTTACATTACTTTTATGTATAAAGTGAGCTTAAACGGTATGTAACGTAATCTTACTAGTTAGTGAAGGATCAAGTAGTTTAGTCTTGACTAAAAATATTGACCATCATCATAGTTTCAATGGGGAATAGTGAAACTGTCCCAATATTTTGAGTTTTTGGAAATGATGAAATCGCCCGCTCATTAGGATTAGCATAAGGGTGACTTCTTAAAGGCTGACATGGCTCATTCGATTACTGTTTAAAACAAGTGAAGATTAAAATATGAATTTGGATATTTTTGAAACGAAAATTTTTTCACGATTCATCTCTTTTAAAACGCGTTTAGATGGTGGAATACTGAAATTTTACAAGCCATTGTTGACAACAGTTGCTTTGGCAATATTACATGTACCAGCTGTCTACAGTGTGCCAACCTCTTTGAGATTAAACATCACAGCATTGCCAACTGTGTGCTTACCTTTCAACATGTCCCATATCAAAAGAGTTATTTGTATGAGAAAAGTCTGTGTATCATTGTAATTGATACTGTTACATATTCAAATCGTTGTCAGATTCAAAAATTAGTAGGTAAAACAGTTGGTTAAAAAATATCTACTTTCTTAAAACTCAACGATATTACAAACAATTAAGATCTAGTACATTGTTGACAGAAAAACTAATAGTATAGTAGATTTATTTTGTATTTATACAATTTATTTCTAGATCACTAGTTTAAAATAATTGTTTAGGTGTTTTAGGTGTTTAGGTGTGTTTAGATCTAATGAAATCAGTAAAATTTCAATGAAAATTAACCAGGGGACCATAGCAGCAATTGCTGCTTTTTAGTTATGTGAGTAAATTGAAATTAAATACACATTTTTTGACGGGGTCTTTTCCTAACACATATCAACACTGCGTTACCATTCCAACCTAAACACAGACCACTAAAATTTAATAAATACAAATATACTGGTAAATTTAAAACAGCTTATAGAAATATTGTAGCAGTACTTTAATTAGAAAATGACTGAATCTTTTGAGGCCTGTAGGGCCAGGCGGGGTAGTTTTTGAAACTGATATTTTTTCCACTGTCCTTGGAAATCAAGCTTTAAAATGAATCCTCAACAGCTACCTTTTTCCTAGCTTGAGATATGTCGTGGGGATCGAATTACTTGGAATTAAATATGTAGATAGAAGATATAAAAAGATAAATATTTACTAAAGAAATTGATTAGCTAACACGATCGCGTTGTGGACCAAATGTATCGATTTAAGTCTGAAACTAAAGTCGAAGTCTGATACTAAAGTCGAAGTCTGATCCCACTATGCAACGCATTGTATGTATGTTTTTTCTCTCTCTTTTTATTTTACGACGCTAGGCACGAGCCTGGAATGGTTTTTACATTACTTCAGGCTAGACCTAGAGTTGCGTCATCATCACTTAGGTAAAATCCATTGGTGATTTGGCGGGATTTGAACCTGGGACCTCGGGGGCCAAAGTCCCGCGCTCTTATCACTATACCAGCTTGCTCATCACATTCTATATATGTACGACTATTTGGTATTACAAATTAAAACAATTTCTAACAGTGGATCATGCTTACTGGTGTTTTGGAAGTTGTTCATTTACTCTTTCTTGAATGGCCAGCCTGACAACAGTTTACTTGGCTTGCGGTAATGACATTCGTCCACAGGATTACATCTTCTCGACCATTCGCTAATTGCCATGTTTTTTGCCCCCCCCCCGAATAGGGCCATAAAAATTCGTGGTTTTCGAGACTCAGTTATAGAAAGCTACAATTTCCCTCATAGTTGTAGCTGTGTTGTGACATGCCAGGATGCAAATTTCCTGTTGGCAAAGGAGTGGGTGGAGTAAGAGTGTTCAAAGTGCA